TATGAAAAAAAAAAAAAAAAAAAAAAAAAAAAAACCAATGATGAAACTACCGTTATAAAGGATAGCCGCCGTGGTCGAGGGGTGTAGTCGCGCGTCCTGCTGAAGGTGCAGCGGGTGGGTTTGGATCCTCCACATCGTTCGATTCTCCGGAAGACCAGTCCTCTCTGTATCGCATGCGTCTCATGAGGCCCGATAGTCCCGAGGATCCAGTCGCGCTGTGCATTATATTGACGATTACATCGTAACTATACGTGCCAAGGATTTTTTGTTTTACCAGTTTAATTGGATTTTTAATTTTTTTTCAAACTTACGAAAAGTCACGTTACGTCATTGTCAGGATTGTGTTTTTTTTATTGTTCATCGCAACGTGATAGGGTGAGATCCTGAAACTGACGTCGTTTAAAAGGTAGAACGTGTGCCCAATGTCACATCAGTCGTGCGTGAGACTTGACTGATTTTTCATGAAAATTAGGAAAAAAATAAAATCAAACAGTTCCAAATCCCAAATCACCGATACTCGTAACTGTCTAAATGTTCATTTGAATTAACAATAGAAAAACAAATTATCAAAGTAAATTACAGCTACGTTTATAAATAATAGTAAAAAAAAAAAAAATTACGACATTGCGTCAACCAATCAAGAGCCGCGCTCTCGCAGTCCCAACGAAACAAGACCCAGTCGTCGAGCTAAGAGAAATTAAAACAAAACAAAAATCTGAGTAAAATGAAAGGAAAAAAAAAAAAAAAATGAAATGAAACAAAAATAAAAATAGAAGAAAAATCAATCACTGCTCCGTCAATGTTTCAGCCACAAACACCATCACCACAGCGAGCAGCAACAACATAGGATGCGCGTACGCGCGCAAGGGTGCAACGAAAGGCTTGTACACTTGGAGGGATTGTAAAAATCGAGCGGCGAGTTGTACAGGTCGCCGACGTCGGAACGCAACTGAGAGAGCGACCTTTGGCTCCCCAAGTGATTTTCAGACCTTATCGGGCCACCTTGCGCCCTCCCCCCCCCCCGTTCTTCAACCCTCTGACCGCGCGCGCCGAAATTTTGACGGCAAAGGAGGACCTGCTCTTTCACTTTTTCTGCTTTCGTAAGTATACACTGCAGAAAGTGCCTATTGTCCACGTATATGTCGGTAAGTACACGATGGGCTATTTTTGGGGGGGTTTGGAGTACAGTGGCGACTTGGCGACAGCGAGGACAGATAAAACGACATTATGGTAGGGAAAAACGATCTTTTCTCGAATTTTCATTATAAAATAATAAGTACAAAAAAATGGAGTAAAAATAAGACGAACAAAAGGAAGCCTAGTTGGATCTATGCACTAACGGTCAAGTGAATCCTCATGAGATTTATCATACTGTGCGAAAAATTGCACTTGATTGAGTAAAGGAACCATTTGATTTTTGTCTTTTTGCACAGCTATCTTGGGAAAAAAAAAAAAAAACACTCAGTATATATGGATAATTGTTTTAATTCTCACCCTCCCTTGGACACCATTCAACCCCTCGCCTGTATGAAAAAAAAAAAAAAAAAAAAAAAAGTGGACATCAGATACGTTACATTATCTTGCATCACTTCCACACCTATAAACCCCCTCCCTCCCGTATAAACCCTCAAAAAACAATAGCGGAATTGTATATATATATATCCCTGCACCATAAGACTCTCTGATGGATATCCCGCCTCTCAACTCCGGACAATCACTCGATTCCCGATCCTCGCGCACATGTAGCCCACACTTATGTAGAGATGGGTAAAGACGGTGAGCCAAGACTTATGGGGTGAGGTGGTGTGCATACATGGGAAGGGCCCGCGCGAGAGCGGGGGACTCGAGTAATACTTATACACGAGCGCACACAATAGCAACAGCTCATCAAGAAAACAATATATCCGCGCCCCGTGGCGCGCCGAGCTTTTCTCGGATGTGTGTGTGTGTGTGTGTGTGTGTGTGTGTGTGTGTATACATATGTATACGTGCATCGGTGCCAACGCAACCCCCTCCCTCTTTATACCAATACCCCCGCCCTTGTGTATGTACATATTATATGTATACACCTTACTCCTCGATGCCTTATTCATGAGGGCTCTCTCACCGCGATAACACTGATTCGCTTAATAAACGGCTCCCTCTCTCTTTGCGTCTTTGCTGCTGTGGCCCATGCACGTATACGGTGACGCAGGGGTGCGAGCACAGGATACCAGTTGACTTTCTACATCCCCGTGTGTATATAAGTATGTGCTTGTGTGTGTAAATACATACATGCACATGTACATATAGATATACGGGGAGTCTCATTCAAACGGGTCGCAATAATGTGTATATATGTATCTCCCAGGGCTTAACTTGCCAAGCGCTGATTTAGATTTCCCTTTCTTTCTCTCGTTCCCTCTCTGGGTGTTTTCACGACTGCTTCAGCGTATATTTTATTTTATTTTTGCGTTATCGATAGCTCGCCTCTTTTTTTTTTTTTTTTTTTTTTTTTTATCGTTTCAACTATGATTGATCGCACGAGGCTCTATTTTTTTTTTTTTTTTTTTCGTTAATTTCACTTGCAAACAAACGGTATATGCAACTTTGTACAAAAGGGTCTCGGTGTGATTTTTTTAGCCGGACGATCATATTAATTTGTCGATAATTTTTTTCATCACAACTGAAAGCCCCGTTTGCGATACGAAGATGGGTATAATTTTCTTCCGCAATAGATGGTATTTAAAAAAAAAAAAAAAAAAAAACCACACTAATCAAAAACATTAGCTGGTTCCGAGGCTCAATCGTGTTGATTCTCTCACGCTCTTTTTCCCGTTCCGATCTACTTATACGACAACCCACCGTAAGCGGAAAAGCAGCAAAAAGATGCACCGCTCGCATTGTGCATACAATAAGTATTAAAACGTAACATGTGTATAGGTATACAGTATCCAAAACTTACCGATCACCGAACTCCAGATTGTCCGGAATTTCGAGCTAGCCGCTACCCGGAGCGCATGTATACATATATACCTTTAAGAACTTTATACGTTCTCAGGGACTCTTCCGATCGGCCTTTTCTTTATCATTTTTTTTTCTCTCTCTCTCTCTCGTTCGTTCGGTATCCATTATTAATTCCGTTCTGGGCCTGACCTCGATTTTGACCTGGCCCGGCTCGACCGTAGTGCCTTGCTGTGGGAAATCGTGCTTTTTACCCTTGAAAAACCGCTTTGGACGTGCACCGGCATACATTGTACACTTTTAATCCGGTAATGGGTCATCCGGATTTTAAAGGGCCGCGCTACTCATTTTTTTTTTTTTTTTTTTTTTTTCTTCATCGCAGCGTGAAGCTCCATTTTTCATACTGCGTTTACTTACCCACGTGCTCTATACGCTCGACTTTATGCTGATTTAACTATTGCACTAACTGTTGGGTGTTGTATTTATTAACCATGATTTTTTTACAATTTTAATTTATCATTTGTTAAATATACATTTGTTAGCTTACTTGGAACTGTATGTGATTGTATTATTATTATTTCTATTTTATTTTTTTTACATTGAGATATATATATTATTCACATACAAGCAAAACAAAAATACGTTTGCGTTATTAATGCCATGTGAAGGTTATATATACGCATTACATCTGAAATTCCAATATAAGGATAAAAAAGTTGGCGGAAAGTATGTTAGGGCAAAAAAAGTCCAGAGGATTAATTGTTTATGCAGGGATTCAAGAGATGAGTTCAGAAGTGGGCGTCGCCTGTATGTACTTTTATTGCCTCACTCTCGTCTTTACCATTTTATTGATTCTTAAATTTTTTGTAGTCTTTTTTTTCTTTCCTGTCAATGCAATATTAGATGTTGGAGATATTTTTTTTTATTTTTTTCAATTCTAACTGCGTGTAACGTTACATATTAAATTACTACGTGCGTTAAAAACGTTGCTACGACATGTACTTGTATAATTAATTATCTAAAGTTGCATATAATTTTTTTGGGGGTAGTTTATAGAATTGCCCTAGAATGCCCATCGTCGAGGCATAGGTACATGATACATATTAATAAAAAAAAAAAAAAAACCACACAATTTACTAACATTTGTTTCAGTAAAAGAAAAGAAAATAAAAATAGATCATACAATTGTAAAGTAATTCGTTGTTCATCCGATAGGAACTCTATTGCAGCTGCTATACAATTATTTAACGATTATTCGGCAAACACGAGACACTGTTGTTTTCCCAACAAAGATACCGCAATTCGCCTGGTCCAATGAGCGACCGATTGGTAACGATCAGAGACTTTTTATTCAATTGATATTCAATAAAAAAATCCTTTTTTTCGTCTACAAATCTGGAAAAAAAAAAAGAAAAAAACAACCGAAAGTAAGGGAAACAAAACGAGCCGATACGGCAAAGTGAGAGCTGTAAATTAATCTTCCTTCCGAAATCTCGATCGTTTTTTCTTCCCTTCTCCGTAATCAGTCCCATTATCAGCCCATCGGTGCTTACTCTTCCACTCTTGGACGGCCAGTCTCCTATATACCCACACATCAGGTACTCGCCATCCCCTATCGATAATGGACATCGAGAGAGTATAAAAGAGGACAGGAGCTAAGGGTAGGGGGGGGGGGTCGAAGGTCCAGTCCCTGCCCTATATTGTATATACACCTCTACTACACACAAGTGCACCACCTCGGGGGGAACGGGATATCCGCTTTTTTAATCCGGTACGTGTGTGTGTGTGTGCAATATAGTCAGAGGAGGCGGTGTTGGTAACGGGGCCCCTCGTTTAAGGATATACGGACACCCTAGCTATACTTTAAGTGCCGTATAAACTCGTATGTGTATACCTGCATAAATGGGTGTAGCGCTAGGATGATGTTGACGAATGGTTTTCTTTTTTCATGCATCCTTGATTCGTACACGTCTAGGATGTACGTGCGCTGTAACGGCGGGACCTTATATGGACGTGGTTTTTGCAAACCTGATTAATTATCGTGATTTCCGGCGCAAGCGTGTAATGACGACACGGCCGGCGTGTATCGTGAGAGTCGCAATCCTGAGTTGGAGGTAATTTTTCAAGCTGGTCAGTTTCGCTTGAACTTTTTTTTTTTTTTTTTTTTTTTTCGCATCACGATCTACGGGGCTGTACTTTTCACGAGAATGAATACGTATGTGGGATTAAGCGATAGTTTTGGGCCAAAGGGGCAGGTGTGTGTGTGTGTGTTACAAGTAGGTGATCAGGGCTGTAAGAGAGCTGAGCCAAGCTTGTATTTTTTTTCCAATGAATTAGTTTCATTTTGGCTCATATGGGCTTTGTTTCCAATGACATTTTGAATAATCGCGCATCCAAGGACATTTTAATTTGGTTCGCCAGAAAACCCAAATGTCTCACGAACTGGATGAAATTTCGAGAGATTGTTGTTCAAGTCCCAATATACCTACACTTAAAATTTCAGACCCGCTTGGTGTTTTTAAACTGTCATTTACGTAGAAGCTGTTATCGCGTGGCTGGATAAATAATAAATAATGGATTTTTCAAAACAAAGAAAATCGTCCATTCGATTGTCGATGTTTTCTTAAACTTTTACCTTCGTCACATTTAATGGCACTTACGATTTTCCAAATGATCTCTTTACATGTTGGCAAAAAACAAAAATTTACGTAAAAGGCTAAAAAAAGCGCCAATTATTCTTCTATACAAAACACCACTTTTTTTTCACGTGAATATAATTAGGAATGCCAAAAAACAACAGTAAACTTAAACCTTAAAATAAAAAAAATACAGAAACACAAACTGTCTCACTATGTACGGAAAAAAAAAAAAAAAAAAAAAAAAATTAGAGAGATTGAGAGAAAGAAGCGGGAGACGCAAAGACCAGAGAGTGGCTCACCACGATTGCTGGACTTTTCTTCCTGAGCGAGGGCCCCGGTCCTGTGCCCCGAGGCCTGCAGCCTGAGGTAGCCCAGGTGCCGAGCGAGCACTCGACCGCACCTCGGTGAAAGCTCCTGCCACCGTTCCAAGCTCCAACCGAGAATGTCGCGACCGGACGCGTCGCCCAGTAATCGGGGCACCGGGGCTGGCTCCAGAGAGAACGCCCTGGCGCACCACGACAGCCAACTCGACACGTGACTCGGGTTCCATTCGCACGGGTCTGCAAGGGATTTTTGAGGCGATGCACAAGTACGGTACGACTTTTACTTTTGACAACTTCAAAAACAATATTTTACACTGCCAATATAGGAGCACTTGCAATTGAATCAAAAACCAAGGATGATTCATTATGCACTTAATAATAATATCAAATAGTTTTTGTTCGCGATTGCGACAACACGCGTGTGATTACCGATAATAGTTACTTATCAATCGTGTGGTTTAAAAAAAAAAAAAAACCCAATTACCTAAAAACCAAAGGTAGTATGTAGGTATACGTACGTAATTGAATGTCAAACAGGTTGCACTAAACTATGTATAAACCAGCTACAAAAATGACCTGTTGTACTGTGCACGCAACAAGATACCGTCGGTTCCCAAAGTATACGAGTTAGGAAAAAAAAAAAAAACCCCCGAACCAACAGCCACAGTGGTTGAAGCAGCCAAACCGATAGATCGCATCTTGAAAAAGCTAATCGAGCACTGCAAGTGCACCTCCATTTGGCGTATTACACGGGCAAGTGTACGGCCGGTCTTTGAAAAACTCACCCGACGGCACCATGACCGGTTCGCTGGAGTTGCCGGTCCCATCCTCGTCGGCGCGCTCCGTCCTTCCGCTTCCGTTTCCCACCGAACCGGAATCCTCCTCCTCGTCAGCCGATTTGCTCTGGCACTGGTGATCCTCTGTTTCGGTAATTTTCAGCAGGGAGGCTAACTCGGGGGAAAACCGATCGCTGTCGGGGATCCCTGCCGTCGTTGGACGTTGTGGTTGGGTGTCGTGGAAATGCTCGAGGTCTTCCAGGCCCGCGAGTCCGTCGAACATAGGCGAGGAGGCTGAGCTCGATGTGTAGTTTGATTCCGTTTCCTGATATGGTGACACGTTTAATTCAAACCACACACGACATCTCCACCAATGTATTTTTTATTCGTTTGTTTACTTATTTGATTACTTGGTATTTTTTATTATAGTGGTGATAGTAGAGTGAGAGTTGTTTTTATTTTTTTTTATTTTTTACTTTATACGAGTTGTACGAACAATGAAAATGATCGGTATGGCTTTTGCACGACAATCCACAGTTACGTCAGTGCTATTGGACTGATCGATCGAAACAAGTTACATGTAATTTTTACTCCATCTTTGTTTTTAGATTAGAATATCTAATAGTACATTCAAACATTTTACTTGATTCATTTAGATATTATTGCTTAAATATTACATTTTTACAGGTACACGTACAATATTTCGAGAATCTTCGGTGACAATATTTTTAAATTAATTTTTTCAAGTAAAATTAGTCATCGCTTTTACAAATACATCATAAAATTGAATCTAAAATTGAATCAAATCCCGAGGCTTCATTCAAAAGAAATAGTACGCGTTTCAAATGATGTTTGAATTTTTCAATAACACTATTGATTCGATGACGAATTTCGCGACAATTTATTGGTTGGATCGGTAAAATTTTGATTCAGCAACTGAAGAAAAAAAAAAAACTCCACATTTGACACTATGAAAACAACAAACATTATAAATATACTCGTCAAAAGAAAGACGGCTTCGCACGAAATATCGTATTTTCTGAGTATAGAAATAGTTCAAAGTAATCATTTACTTTGGACATTAACTTACTACCACGAATTCTTTTGAATCAACGTAAATCAATTATGCACACTTTAGCGTGTAAAATTATTTAATGCTATACGTGACTGAAACGTTTAAAATAATTTCTCAGCTAGTTTAAAAAAAAAAAAAAAAATCTTCTATAGTCTTACCGTAATCACGTGATTAGATATTATTTTACACTCACACGCTGTTCACTGTACATAATCCATGTCTTACCAACATCACCGTTTAGTGGCGGTATTACCGATCATTCGCACACCCATCACCCAAACGCCACTTTTTCCTCAGAGCTAAAGAAAAAACTGTACACTCCACTAGAAACAAAACAAAAAAAATTTTACCAAATTGCAAAGTCTCGCGACGAAAATGTCACAGCTGCTGCCGATCGTCGCATGATCCCCTTTGGCAGCCGACGCTCCCGCGCCGCCGACTGTTTTTTCACCGGCATCCAACACTAGCGGCGATTCTATCGAGCCTCGACTACCGGCGGCGCTCGATCGCTGATTCACGTACATATGTATATACTAAGCGTACCGAACGGTTCGCCGGTTTATCGGGAAAACGACTCATCCACGGACTTTCCGACTTTTCCTCCACCCCCTCCCGGCTTAAAACATCCGGCTGACGTGTCTTCGCCGAAACGTACACGCGTCTGCACTGCTTACGGATACAATGTGCCCAAAATGCACGATTAAACTACGTTGGAACGAATGAATGAACCAACCACGTGCTCGGCCGTTCATTCACTGGTGCCGAATGGCCAAGGAAGGATGAAGAGGCAGAGATGGGCGAGTGGAACAGCTTCCTCCTTCCATATACGCAGAGGATAGTCGGAAGGGAGCCGCTTTTATCTCATCTTTGGCACAGGTGAGAGCTGCCGACGGGGGATGGCTCTTACATATGTGTACCCACTATATACGCGTCGGGGATTCGCCGGGAGTTGGTTGACTTTTTGTTCCCTCTCTTTCAACGTTTCAGGGGTTATTATATACCTTTTCGTCATACATGGCGAGGTAAAGGATTCGTGGATTACATCATGTGTACGAGTCGTTGTTTATATGTTAAGCAGTTGGAACATCAGCTGTGGTCACGATTTTGGGGGTCTGAAGTGCCGATTTTTAAGGTGACACGAGAAAAGTCTATATCTCACACCACATGCCGTGAGAATCACTAGGTAATATGGTTCTCAAAAAATCGGTAAGCTTTTCAACATCACCGCGACGATAAAAACGTTGAGCACCAAGTGCTCGTCTACGAGATAATAATATATATAGGTTGACTTCTATAACCTGTCTCGCGCCCACCGATTATTCTTCTTGTTTATAAAATGTCAACATCACTTGGTCAAACATGTGTGATAGCAGTATATTATCGAAACTGCAGGTCTCGTTTTATAGAAACCGATTTCTACCGAAAAAACGAGCATCGTCTATCCTGTATATCCTACATGGTGATCTCGTTGCGTCAATTTTAGGGAGACCTTCATTGTCGAAGAAATTAGCGATTCAAAGGCAGAAAAATCGGTAACGAAGCGAGAAGCAAAGTTAATCAGCGATCGAAGGAAGAATAGGAAATGAGCATTACATACCGAGAGCTTCGCGTAAAAAGGGCGACAAAAATTAGTCTCCTAGTCAGGAGATTCACAGTGTAGGTAGTTTACATTTCATGATGATCAAATTGGTCAGTGAGAGTGCGTACGTGCACAATTTTTTATTAAAAAGCAAACACATGAGTAGAATCGGTTAGTTTCAGCCAAGACGATAGTACATGGAGAAAATGTGACTTTTCTTACAGTACCAATGCTTACTTCCAGCAAAGTATATGCATGGAGCTGTTATATATTCAGGTGGTTGTCGAAAAATCGGTACGGTACACGACACCATTGACACTGCACACCTGAGATCGACCTTGAAAAAAATCGCGATTTTCGAAAGATTTGCATCGAGGCAAAGTTTATTAGATGCCTCAAATGGTCTCGTAAAGAAATAAAAATCGTGCGTGTACCTCACGCGTCATCGGGCTGGCATGAATGAAGAGTCTCCCTGCCCCGAGAGAATCTCTCCAGGAGAGAGGAAGATATTCCCAGAACGAATGGGAGTATGAATGAAAAAAAAAAAAAAAAAAAAAAAGGACCGGTGCAGCGACCGGTAGTGCGTGTGTAGCAAGAAGAAGGAAAAAAAAGGAGATGCGCGGGAGGTAGGGGGGGAATCTCGCATCCTTGGCCGCTGAATCATATCACTTTTTCTCTCTTTAACTTTTACGAGAGAGAGACATGGCAGACACACGCGCAATATGGTTGTGTATATGTTAACAAGCGCGTGCCCCACATAGTGTTCTCGCACTTTACGCTAACCGATCCTCTGGTATTTGACGCATGTTCGATTTATTTGGGAAGCGTGGGACAACATGCTTTGCCTATAATATACACATGTAGAACGTATACTGTGAATAATTGTCTTTAAAAAAGAAATGTCAGTACAATCAGAGTGTTTTCACACTAATTATTGGCATCAGCGAACTTTGACGTAAAAATCTTGGATTCAATCGAGTGAAAAGCATCGACTCGAACTCATGTAAAAAGCTGTTGGCGATTTCGTATGGATACTTACAGCTTCGAGAGGAGGGAAAAAAAAAATTAAAGCTCAGAGATAATAAATAAACGGCTGTTAAAATATCGCGCACGCGCGAGCGCAACGGGGAAAGAAAGAGAGCCGGTATACGTGGATTGAGGATTCCTAATCGCGAGAAAATTATCAAAAGTACGGACCCTCCGGGAAGCGATAAATTAAAACGTCATCTCTCGGGCGGCGTGTATACTCTTTTTTTTTCAAGTATCCTTGTTTAGAATGAAAAAAAAAAAAAAAAAAAAAAAGTCCATGCCGAAAGAAGAGGCCATGCGAAGGGGAGGGGGGAAGAAATAAAGAGGTGCGCCGGTGTAGAAAGAGGTGTCATTTCGAGCGATAATCAGCCGCCTTTGACCGTTTCAGAGAGAGAAGTGAACATTATCAAGTATATAATAGCGCGTATACGCCAGGGGAGGCCTTCCCGTCTTTGGTGGGCTCTATCCTATCCGTCTCTTCTTCACTGTACGTCTTTTCGATGCACGTGTGCCTATGTAATGTTGTATCCCTACTCGTAGGTATATGCCTATTTGTCGTGAGTCACCTGAGTATTAGCAGTCGGTGCTTGTGCGGTCGTGGGGCGCATAATATTGTATATATGTTTTTTTTTTTTTTTTTTTTTTCAAGTGGTATGTATACATCTATATATAGGAATCGTAACGATGATGGCAAAAGCATATTTAACCAGTGCTTTCCCGCTAAAAAGTCCGAATACGATGAGAATCGGCTATTTTGATAGTCTTTTGTGATTTGTACTTTTGATATTATATTTATGGATATATTATTATGTATAATTGGGTATTTCGAGTCAAGTGATTCGGACATTGAATGCAAGGGAATATAGGTCAGGGTGTTTTCCATTGTTTTATTTACAAAGACATAGTTCTATTACCTATAAATCGATAAACCCAATTAACAGAGATCGTTTATGCATACATATAGGTGCAAGCCATTGATGTTCGTCAACTGGGTGTTTGACCCCAATGAGAAAAAAAAGAAAAAAAACTACACACGCATCCGCGAATCTTAATATGCCAAGTATACACACTTGTATCTGCCGGCGGAATAATCGTTGAGCAAAACCTATATAATATGTAACCACGCGATTTGTTGCCATCTACAGAATACGTATAAATATTATATTACATACGTGGCTTTCCCCAACGGTCATCGCTATTTATTGCATGATTATATTATATATGTAGTCATAATAGCAGCCATCAAAGTAACTCTCAAGCCTCGCAGTACCCCCAAGTAATTTTTTATCATGTATTCAATATGTTCATTGTTAGCCATTGAGGCAAATGTTTTTGAAACAGCGTAAAACATTTGGAGTTTTGTGGGGAAAAAAAAAAATATATATATCATTATCTCTCATCGCGAGCTCAAAACTATACCATTTCACCCAAAAACGATTTGTTGGAGACTATAATTGTGTTCCTGATTATTCAAAAATCAATTAGTTATTTATTTATTACTATTTTTTTCAGTCTTGCGATTAGTTAGCTTACATACTCCTTAATTCGTTGAGATAAATTTTTATTGAGTTGTGTGTATACGCGTATCGAGATACTATGTATATGTACGTTTGTGTCGGGCGAGGAAAAAAGAATAATCTTCAATAACGCCACGGGACATGTACTTGACTGTTTAGCATTTAAAAACGAGAGGAATCTTAATATGCAATTGTACGGGGATATACGGAACAAGTGACTCGATGTTGTGCGATTTTAAACGCGACTCTTCAACAGTTTTTTTTTTGTTTTTTTTTTTTTTTGTTTAATTTATCGACTAGACTTTTCCGTAAGGGTTGCGTGAAAGCACTAAAGCTCTAGGAAAGGTGACCCAAAACGACAACTTAAACGCACTTTTTTTTTTTTGTTAATTCACCGATACGTTATACAAACTGACATAACGGATTTAAAAAAAAAGGTCGTCAAGTTGTTGTTGTACATGTGTGTTTCTCCGCCCCCTTTTTTCTCCCATACAGCTGTCGTATCTCGTATCTGCAGTTCTGAAACAGCGAATTGTGTATATATAAACGAGCCTCGAGCCGCGCTCGCGGACTTAGTGTACTCATTTTTCCCGCAGTGATCGCACGAGCCACACCAACATGTTTCGCCAGACGAACAACATTATTTTGTTCACCTTTTTGTGCACAACCATCATCATCCCTCGAGCTCTGTCACAAGGTTTAACGGCAATTTCTTTTTTTGGTCTCTTGTTCTTTTGTCCGTTGGAAGTTTAACGCGTTGTCCTTGCTTTTTCTGCAAATCAGATTGCAAAAACATCAAGTGCAAGGGGCCGATAAAGTTCTACGAGGGTATCAACTGCAAGCCGATCTTCGGGGAAGATGACAGGTGCTGCGCCACAAGTTACGACTGTTCCCACATTTACGCGGAAAACTCGCCGGACAAGTGCTACATGAACGGCCATCAGTACGGCTACGACGAAGAACTCCGGGACGAAGACAAGCCGAGCCACTGCGACGTGTGCGTTTGCAGGAAGACCCCCGAAGGCCAGTAAGTTACATATCTGTTTTTGTTCCCCCTCAATCAAATTTGGTTCAATTAAATCGATTTTTCCACAATGTGTACAGTCTCGACTGGGCTTGCTCCAACTACAACTGTCCGACCCTCAAGCCTTTGAAAAAGGATTGCTGGTGGAGACACGATTTGACATCTTGTTGCATCAACGAGGAGATGTGCCGTAAGTGACGCGTGCCACAATCAAGGGGACAATTATTTCTTTATTTTTTTTTTTTTTTGCATCGTTGTTTCAGCCGAGGAAGGCAAAGACATAGCTACGTGCAAATTTGCCAAGAAGATCTACAAGGAGGGGGAACGTTTCGAGCCAAAAGGTTACAAGTGCCAGTGCTTGTCCGGCTTCAAAGGTACCCATAGTGATGAAATACGAATGTTCCCTATTTTTTTTTTTTTTTTTTTTTTTTTTTTTTTTTTTTTTTTTTTTTTTTTTTTNAAAAAAAAAAAATAAAATAAAAATAACTGATAAATTTTGTACGACCAAACAGGCGATAACCTTTCGGCTTACTGTCGCAAGGTGTTCTGTGGAGTGCAGCTCCGGCATTCTCTGGAAATACATCGCAATTGCTCTCCTGTGTACACCAGAAACCAATCGCCCGTCGACTACTGCCCCGATCAATTCCGATGCCGTGAGTACACGAAACTTGTCTCGGTGCGATACAAAAAAAAAAAACTCGTAGCTCTTGAGCACAAAGATACGTATTTTACGTGGAGTTGGCGAGCGAAAAATGGCGCAGTGCTCGAGATAATGTCGCGTGCGATAAATAATCACGTTCGAGATGTTTGCGGGAATGTACGCGGCTGTACGTGACCCATTATCTTATCACCTTGGCTCCGCGTCTCGGCATGTGTATTCGAACCGAGTTAATACAGTAATCTCGTTTTCACGGTGTATTATTCCTCGTAACGTTACCGCGCTATCACTGCAAAACTTTTTTAACGAATGGCAATTTCGTTTGGGAATAAAACGGAGAGGGGACAACTCTGTGTTTGTTGTGCAAAAAAGGGGTCGATTTGGGTCTAAAATCATACTAGTGTGGCCAATGTGCGAAATGAGCAGATTTTTCGGAAACGGATTGTTTTGACTGTTACGTGTTATGAGATGTAGCGAAAAATTATTCAAAACAGCGACTTGACCTTTTTTTCCTTCTGATACCTTCTGATACCAGATACAACTTTTTGTAAATGTTCCCGTCTAACTTGTAGAATTTAAATTTATTACTGAAAGCAAAAATAAAAATTAATGTTTTTTCCCCCCCAAGAAATGGAAAATGATTCAGTGAAACGCAAATCAGGTGGAATCTTTGGACTGGGTAAGAACACACGATTTATATGATTCATAAATCACACGTTGAAATTGATATTGGTTTTTCAGGAATTTTGGGTACAAAAGTTAAAAGCGACGTGAAATGTGTGTTTGGCAATTTAACGATGGATATTGGTGACGAGTTGAATCTGAAGGCTGACCGAGCTAGCGGTCAAAATTGCGTCAAGTGCACATGCGAAGTACCACCTACTCCGACTTGCAGCGAGTGCGCGTTGTGGCCTTTTGGGCTCAGATAGGAAGGAACTGCAATTTATAAATAAAATAGCTTCCAAAGTTCGTTTCAATGTTGTACGTTTTTATTTGTAGTTAAAATAATGTTTTATATATAAAAAAAAAAAAATTAAAGTGCTTACATTACAGATAATCAAAGATGTGATTTTGAATATCTTTAAAAAACTTTCAACTCTGCATAAACACGCGCTGAACCGAAATCGTGCATAAATTAAAAGCTGCTATAATGATAAACTCGGTAGAACATTAGTAATTGAAGATATTTGTATGGTAACAAGTTTCATGATTTGAATGAATATTATTGTATGCACAAGTAAACTTTAGTTTTGAAAGTTATAAGACTAGATCAGCTAATCATAACAACAATAGATTATGTTATTCAAAATAATTTCGTACTGCCACTCTGCATCACAAAAAACAGTTAGATCAAATTACTATTAAAATAGGTATGGTTTTGAATTTCAGTCATGCTCAAATTTTTTAATCGTTTAATTTTGCGCAAGATGTTTAAATACTTACAAACAATCACCATTTCGTTTAATTTCGTCATTTCATTTGAGTAATCATACAGTAAAAATATAATAAACTGAGTTTTTTTATGACCACACTATTTTAAATTGTTTTTCACATTGCATCTCTAGTGCAAGATAAATTTAATCACACTTTTATTACACACGTGCAACAACCTTGTAAAAGTGAGCACACACTAATTGCCTTGTCTTTTTTTTGCTGGCTTAATGGATTTAGCTTTTTGTTTCTCTCCGCCAGATAAAAATGATGTTATAACCTCTGACATGTCTGGTACACTGTAATTTGTGAGAGAATTAAGTTGCTCCATATCCTGGAAAAATATTTATATCAATATTGATGTCATCATAAATTTTGTTTGAAACTAGTAATCAAAAACTCTACACACCTTTTTAGCTTCTGGATCGTTCATAATTCTAGGGGCCACCATGAGTAAGAATAGTGGTAATATCATCATAAGAACCTGCAAAAATTCACCAATGAGTCATATTGTCATTTTATGTAGAGATGATGTGATCAATCGTTAAAAAACTTACCATGGGATTAAAAAGAAAATCTGTTACCCTCCACTGTTCTCTCACCTGGAAATATCTGAATGGAGAATGTGGTTTCATTTTCAATGGATATGGCACTTGAATAACTTGCGAAGTTTGAATCAAATTAACTTTTCTTGCCCTAAACTTTCCTTTGGAGTTTATTTCTACCCTGACTGGTTCATAAGCATAAACAGAATTAACTACTTCAATCACATATGAACCAGATGGTACATTTGATATCACAAAGGTTCCATCTTCTCTGTAAACAAACAAAATTGAAGTGCAATGATTCAAAGATATTTATGTAAAAGAAAAAAAAAAATAAATAGCACAACTCAATACTGTACAACCATGTGAGTAACTAGGTGAAATTCTCATACTGTGACATTATTATTATTGTTATTATTAGTCAGACAGAGACGCCTTAGTTGCATTACTAATAAAAAATTACACTGATTGAGGTTAGGATTTATGTTTGACGATTTTCGTATCTTCATAAAGATATCTTAGTACATTCAACAAATAATTTTTAAGAAATTTGAGCAAATAAAAGCAAAAGATAGCTTTGATATTTTTTTCATGAGTTGCGTCAATATTTACCTAAGGAAACCATAATGTTCTCCGCCATTGGCCATAACTCGAGTCATCAATTGCCAGCCCGAATTCGCTGCATTTTCCCACGGAAACACTTTGCCTTCGATCACGTACAAATCGGATGACGTATCCTCGTCGATTTCTGCGAGTGTGCGACTTGAAAATAAACTAAGAACGATGAAAATAGCGAAAACGTATCCCGTTTTGCCCAACATGATTGCAAAGATTTTTTTGTGACAACTCTGACAATAGCAGTCGACAAGACTTTACATATATAAATATATATAAATAAAGGGATGCGTGCGCACGTTTTGCTTCGGTGCCGGCACTACTGCCACCTACTGGCCACTAGCAGCAGAGCACACATCAGGCGGCTCTCTCCTGACTCTCCTCTGCTAGACTCGTGATTCTAGCCTACACTGAGCTATGTGGTAGGGGGTAGGGGGGAGTCCCTATACCGCGACGTGCTCTGGCGCCATCTGATTCAAGCTTGACGGTAAAAGAGCCTCATACCTATCAGTGTATGTATTACTACATATATATATAGGCTTTTATAACATCCCAGACGCAGACGATTTTGTTGGAGCGAATTTCTCGCGCATGCGTATTTCAACATATATATAGATGTAGTATAGTTGATATGGTAATACGCAAATAAATAAATATTTGCGCACTACATAACTGTTAATAGTTTATAACAACTCAAGAGTCAATTTTATTCTGCGTATTACGCGGAAATTAATGGCGTTCTTGTAATTAAGCTGCGTGTGATAGATTTATTGTAATGAATGATTGAAAATTTACCCAGCACCCGCAAATAATAATTAATTACTACAGAAGTATGTCACGCGCAATTGTTTTACAAGTAGCGGAAATTCGAGGAAATTACGCGCAATTTTTTGGCTATTTTTGCAGATTTTTAGAAACAGTTCGGGTGCCCATGTCACACAGCCGAGTTAATCGATGCTTTCAGATTTTACGTGCCCGTAAGATGACGTGGCTGTAAGTAAGCAACTTATCTGTAACCTGACGTCTTTTGAAGATTACGTGTCCCTAAGCTTATGCGTGCCTATAAGAGAACATGTGTGTGTATGAAAGCACAATTTTTATTTTTACGTGACTGGTGTGTGGTGTCTGATACATAAATAAATATGTACATATCTACGTATCATCACGTGTGCGAAGACTGCGAACTTCACTTTACGTGGACATACTTCATTTGAAAAAGTAGCGTTTTTCTTTAAAATTCCTAACCTTATATCCACGTAATTACGTGGATTTGATGCGAATAGACACAGCGAATAGTTTTTTGCGTAGAGTCTTTTTAAATTTGACTTCTTCAGAACATCATGGATACAAACGTGAAATTGAGGCAGATGGAGGACGAAATGAGTCGGTAAGGACGTATAACCTCAATCTTACAATCTTAAACTTCCAAAATGCGAATTAAGTGCCTTCTGCTGAGCTTAATCTTAAAATGTATGACTCTTAAATTTTCTCTGCAACTATAGATTTGAGGCTGAAATTGGAGGACAAGTATCGACAGGGATGAGGCCTGTCATTGGATCCAATACTTACAATACTGTAGCCAGACAGTTGGAGCAGCACGAACCATCCCCTGTTGTAGTTGCAGCAGCTGCTTCATTAGCCTTTCCTCCTATGCTAGGATTTCCTCCTCCTCCTCCACCACCACCTCCACCACCACCAGCACTACCACTTATGGTACCAGCTCAAGTTGCAAGGCAAGGTAAGTAAAATTTGTCTGAATATAATACTATTTTGCAGCTTTTTTTTAAATTCAAAAATAACTTTCTCCAGGTCCAGTAACTTCTGTTGCAACTTACTCATCTCCAGCACAAATAACTACACCTTACATACCAAACTTGATAGAGGCAACGATGTCTGCAGCAACTAAAACTTATGAATCTACTCCAGTAGCACCGATTATTCATCCTGAAATAATTGAGAAGATTATAAATACCAAAATACCAGATGATGATTCGAAAAAGAAGCCAAAAGCAAAAGGTGTTAGTACAGCAGCAGAGTTGGCTATTAGTCAAGGCAAAGCTAGTTCAATTATGGCAAATGCTAATGCTGAAGAGTCACATCCTAAAGGCAAAGGTAAAAAGAACAAAAAAATCATCAGAATGGCTGGTGGACAAACGTGGGAAGATCCTTCGTTGATGGAGTGGGAAGACGATGATTTTAGAATATTCTGTGGCGATCTGGGCAACGATGTTACCGATGAAATGCTTGTTCGTGTTTTTAGCAAGTTCTCCAGTTTTCAGAGAGCCAAAGTAATTCGTGACAAAAGAACAAACAAAACGAAGGGCTTTGGTTTTGTATCGTTCAAGGATCCACAAGACTTCATTAGAGCTATGAAGGAAATGAATGGTAAGTCAAAAATTTACTCATTGATATCTTTAAAAAAAAAATTTATTAGGCTAAACCAACATATGTGTATTTACTATGTTTTTTTCCTACCATTATTTTTTTCAATATAATGCTTCATAATGCAATACTTTAAATAAAACTAAAATTGTTTGAAATTAAGTACAAAATTTAGAAAACATTGATGAATAATTTAATAACAAGCTACTGATTTATAAAATCTCAACTGTAAGATTACTATTTTAAAAACATAAAGAATCTAAACTAAAAGTAAACATTTTTAAATGATAAAATCAACTAATTATCACCGAAAGTAAAAATTCTGATAATTATTTAACAAAAAAATCAGAAAATAAACTTAAGTACTCACAACTTCTTAAAAGTTTTTCAAAGTTCTTTCTAATTACGATACTATAATAATAACATGAATAAATAAATGAATAAAAGTATCACAATTGTATGAACTTAACAGTCATACTAAATAATGTAACAAACTAACAGTTATAAAATACAAGTAGTAATAGAATGAATTTAAAAGAAAAACGAAGTGTATTTTTACAAATGCCTAGCAAATTAAACTAACGACACACAATTTTTCAATATTTTCATTAAAATATCTCCTATGCCAAGACGAAAAATACTGTTAATGTTCTTATTACGAGATACAACCAATAATCTCACGTGTCTCTCAGTTGTTGAGTTTACTTGGACCACTTTCGCAAGAAGAACCTCCTCCGTACACAAAAATAATAAATGTAACAAATGCCATTTCAAAGTGCGCAACGATATCATGCTGAATCAGTTCAATCGCAACTCTTGAAGATTCATAAACGATCATCTGATATATTTATTGACGACTAACATATTTTCTTCTGTAACAATGAATACATCTTTGGCTACATAATTTCATAAAATCTATTACTTCAATAACGATCAAACTCAATCTTTCATGCATTTATCCACGCGAAAAAATTCATTTTCAATGCTTAAAACGAGTCAAGTTCCAAGACCATACACAACATGCTTTTCGTTTCTCCTTTTTTTTAATCTTCTCTCTTGAATTTACTTCCCCGAAGGACCCCATCCGTATGATATAAACAGCTGGGGTATGATGGAGTAGTGACGTCTGGGTTGTCCCGAGTTGCTGCTGTTGGACAGACCCGACCGTCCAGTCGTAGGCGGTGCCAAGGCCGGAGAATCGCCTGCACCGTTTTTACTTACTGATTCTCCATTTTTGCTCGTCTCCCCTTGGGTGGGAGCTGTTTGGAAATGTACATCCATTTGAAAATCAAGTACATCACTCCAGTGCCTCTTTGATATGTTACATTTTACAAAAAACTCACTGGAAGACGACGAGTGGTTGTTGGCTCGGGGCTTCATGGAGAGCACGGAGAAGGGCATACCACCGGCGCCCCATCCACGCGACATGAACGTGTCTTTCTTCGAGTGTCTGGTTCTACTCCGGCCTCTCATACTCGACACGTAATCCGCGGGATTAGCCGGTAGTTGCGTGTCCGTTGCCTCTTGGGCGGCTCTCACGTGTATCGGTTGCGTTCTGAAAAAAAAAAAAAAAAAAAAAAAAAAAAAAAAAAAAAAAAAACAATTATATTTCCCACTATCCGTTTGAGCAAAAAGTTTCGTCTATTTGTCGTTTTAAAGCGAATTTTGATCCTAATGTGCAGCTTCAAGCTTTGAAAAAAATTTACTTATGCTTTTTTTTACTTCAAATTCACGTTTGAGTTTGGAAAAATCACACATCTCTTCGGAATCATCATTTTTTTTCATCGCGTGCTTTAAATGAAACAATGGAAAATCATAGAAAAAAAAAAAAACAGTTCATCTTAAAAAAAATGAAATTCCTTTTGTTATACATATATACTCTACGGTGACATTTAAAAGCCAACGTCAACATTAGTCACGATCAAAAACTCTTTTATCTTTGTATCAAAGCCCAATAAGTATTTGAATGTAACTCCAATTTTCCAGCTTCTACCGTTCAAGGATAATATATCTTCTTGGACAGCAGCATATAAAACCTAAACCATATTCACGATTGGAACAAACAATCAAGTATTTTCTTCCAATCTTCGTTCACTTGTATATGCATTGGCAGTACCGCGCGCTTTCGTTTTCACGCGCAACAACGGCGACAAATTACTTAATCAGTTGGGGGAGAGTAAATAAGCGCATGAATGAGAGACAACGCAAAAAAGAGAGTCCCTCTGTTCACACACCGGATGTCGAGCTACTCGAGCCGGATTAGAGCCAAAGTCCAAAGCTGCTGCCTGACGCAGGCACAGGAACTATATATAGGGTATATATTATACACTTGCAGGATAACGAAAAACCTGTACCTTATATCCACGCCTACGCTTTACTTATTAGATTATATAATTACCTCGTACTGGGATTAAAGAGTGGGTCGAGCCCCTTTTGCTCGCTCATAGGTGAGACCTACTCTACCGCGTTATTCTACATATGTCACACGTGCGAAGACTCAAAAATTCTTCGAGTGATACGTTACCTCCAGCGGTTGCAACTTTTTTTTTCTTTTTTTTTCTTTTACCTTTCGTTGCGCTGTTTATTGCTCTTCCTTGAACTGGTGCGTTGTTTTTTTTTTTTTTCCAGGGTGGGATTTAACTGACGGTGAATTGTTTTAAAGTTTCTTCAACCGACACCCGCAAGGAAGCTTCTTTTTTTCTCCCCCAAAACCATTAGCTCGATTATCGTTCGTTTACAGCCGACATCGATCGCGTGGATGTTTAAAACAGAAAAATCCAAGCCGGAACGACGAGGTATTTCGCGCCTTATCGTCGATTTTCAAGCGTACTTTGGGCGGGATCCCCGTAACATTTTCCGTTGCGCAAAAACGGCGATTTATGTTGTTTTGCTTTCGTTTCTTATACGTGACAAAAAAAACCTCGAGTGTGTACCTGTGGGAGAGCTTGTTGGGCTCGACGAGGTAGTTGTCTCGCGCGACTGATGGCAGCGAGTCCCAGCACCGGCCCGTCTCCGGGTCGCAGGCCGCGCCGAGGAGGGCCGCGGGGACGTCGTTGTAGTCGTGCCACGCGTTTTTCGAGCCAACGGTAGGCGCGCAATCGCAGCTCTGGACGATACTGCCCAACACGAGTGCCGTCCCTACCACGATCCAAGCACCAATGGAGACTCGCGGAGTCCGAGTTTGTTGTTTTTCCTGCCCCATTGCGAGTATACAAGTATCTTTTCCTTCTCCGTCTGTCGTTGTCGCTGGAGTCTATCGACGACGCGCTCGTTGGACTTTGTTATCTGGAACATAAATTTTGTGGGCTTACAGCTCGGTCGCCGTTCGTATACTGATATTGCTACCAGAATAGTTGACTTTTTTTTGTTGATTATATATAGATTTGTTAAGTAGGTTGTTTAATAGGTTGATAGTACATCAACACAAGACTGTGACTAACTTGGCTTTCTCTTATTTTTATTTGCTTGACTCTAATCATAGTTTAATTGTTTTTGTTTCAAAAGTAAACATTTCAACGAATTACTTATTTAATTAGTACGATTGAGTTAGTCGTTTCAAGGAATACAAGTCGATTTAATTATTTAATCGAAATTGACAAGTTCTACTCTTGTTTGAATCCTGTTAGATACCCATGGCAAATGTGAGACTTATTTTAATAGTTTGTAATAAAAAAACTCGGTATTTTTCAGATTTAAAAAAATTTGTTTTCCGTTTTTCTGTGACCAACACATTGATTTACGAAAGAACCAATGAGACGGGAAAACAATCGTAAATCTCGATGTTTATGTTAAATTTAGATTTCCACGCGATGAATCGCACGAGGAAAAACCTCACACCCCGCGACCAGAGCAATATAATATAGTGCTCAAATTTTTCCTTATTAAAACAATAGCTCGACGCGCGCGTGCACGAAACAAAAATGAGCTGCGAAAGCGATCTCTCGCCGCGAGGAAACAAAATTGCTCAAAGTATTGGCGCATCCACTGCTGCGATTTTCCTCATCTTCCGCCGAATAAAAATCCAGGAGAAAAAAGAAAAACCAAGCCATTCTCCCTCCTCGAAAGTGTGACACGAGCGCGCGGGGTATCCAATTATCTCTCGGCAGAAAAAAAAAAAAAAAAAAAAAAAAAAAAAAGTGCAGGCAGGCGACAGTGTCAAGCCGGCGCCTCTACATGAGCGCAGCCAGCAAAGCGCGACGGCGCCAGCGATTGGGCCGATGGCGCGATCAAAAGGTTCGAGCTATGTAGGAGAGACTCACCGGCCGAGAGGGGAAAAAAAACGTGCGGCTATTTTCGCGGTCCGCGAGCCTATCCGCGAGATCCCCTTCGGCTAAGCGGCGAATACCTATACTCGAGTATTCGTGGAATTCGATAGAGTCGCACAGCTGATTTTCGTTGCGTGACGCTATGCGGATTTGGGTGCTCCCCGCGCGATGACGAAGACGACGTTATCTTCAAGTTTGCGCTCGCGAGATTTTTGCAAGCTCACGCACCACTTGAAATAGCGTTTAGTCTGGTGACGCGTGGTACAATAGATTATCGCGACGTTCATTCTAATTGTTGCTGCAGAAATTTTCACCGTGACAATTATGGGGATGTTGATTTTTACTTTAGTTTTAGTTGGTTTTACCACGATACGGAAGTCGTTTTTTAAATTTATTTGGAAATTTGTTTTTAATCTCTTATAATTGTTACTGTAAAAACAGCGGTAATTTTTTTTCCGCTATAAAAAATAACTGGCAAAATTAAAAAGTTGAATTATTCAGAAACTATAACATCTCATGAGTTTTTCATATTATAGGATAAATATTGTGAGTTTGGAAAAGGGTAGCTACGTGAGTTAAATTTATCAGGGAAAGTATAAAAAATTTTATTTGCAATACAAAACTTTTTAATAGGGAATAGTTACCGCAGTTCTTCGGTAAATGTTACGTAAATTTTAAAATATACGTTATTGTAACGTATGAAATAATAATTGTTACTTACTCTACATCCCAATTTTTACTGTAGTTTCGATGGTAAAAAATTAAAATTGCATATCGCATATTAAAATTTATGAACATCTTCAAGCATTTTTGGATTATTACGCACTTGTAGATGCTGTAGTGACTACCTTAAATGTTTGAGTTGTAATACGAAGGTAATTTAAAGATTTATGTACTAATTTTTAACCAAATGGTTGACATGGATTTTGTAATTTGCAAAATGGTTTTTTCACCTTTTGTGGAGAAAATGATTACGAAATCCATTATTATCTAATCGTACGTCGTGTACACTCGGAGAAAACGTGACAAATGAAAAATTCTGTTTAACGTGACATTGGATAAAGTGTTTTTAAAATACAGTCATGCGAAGAAAGTGTGCCGATTAAGAAATTTTGTTTCTGAAGTAGTAGCGATTCACAGTAATATAAAAACACGAAAAAAAAAAAAAAAAAATGTCATTGCGTAAATTAACTGTACAGTGTGTCACGATTTTCTTTTGTCACATCATTGCGACGAATTACTTTTACTATCGGTTAGTTGTTTTAATTCTCGATAGTGATTGTAGTTATTACTTGCAGCAATTTTGACTTATGAGTAATATAGATTGTTCATTATCTGTATAGCGTCAATGTTCTTAATTACAGGATATTTTTAAACTCTGGTTATTCTGATTTAATGGTATCAACAGTAAAAATACTTTGGTACTTGATAATACGTAATTAATCACTATATTGGATTGGAATGAAATTATTCACATAATTTTTTTTTTTTTTATTTACTGATTTATTAATATACGCAAATTATTAAGTAGGGTGGGATTTA